TGAGGAAGGTCTTGGTTATATAATTTTTTTTAGCTTCAAATTTAACAAATTTAACCTTTCTCCTATGTAAAACAAGAACTTTACTGTGCTTTTTCTAATGCATCCCTATACTTACAGATCTTTGTTAATTTAATATGGGTGTAGATTATAGGTAAGAAGTACAATTTTTTTTTTTTTTAGAATTACATATCTTTTTTTTCAAGTGGTATTTGTTATTCTTGTGTCAAATGTTAACATGTGTACACAAATTTCTTGGATTCACTCATATGAAGGCTCACTATAAAAACATTTATTCAAAATTTTCCATTTTTTACTTCTCAATTTTAATTCTTGACCCCCTGAATTATGTGTTAAACTTTTCAGTTTCTACATCAGTGCGGTAATTTATAAACACTTGCATATCAGAAAATGAAGATTTCAGTTGTCATTTGCTACCAAGCCTTGTCACTTTGCAGAAAAGGAAAAAAAAAAAAAGAAAACAAAAATCCATTATTTCTTAGTGTTTGATGTTGCACAGGTTTAATTTTAAAGCCAGCCTGGAATTTGCTTTAGGTTTCTTGTATTTTGTCTGGTCCCTAAGTAACCTTCATTTCTTTGGGCCTGGATTTTAGTAATTTTTTTTATCCTTAGTATTTCACCAAGTTTACCAAGATATCTGAGATACTAAATATTTTGAACTAGATTGTTTCATTTCTACGTATTTTAAAGTACTTAATTTTGCTTCTTATAGGTAAAATCATTTTAAGAAGTATCTTAAAGCAAGTCCTTTCTTCGCTTGTGCAGAAGAATTTCTTTCATAAGTCTGCATCTGTTTTATTATTATTATTATTATTATTATGGGTTGTTTATTTGCTTATATATTGTTCTTTGTGCTTATCCTTGAAAAAAGAATGCTGAATCCTTTTAATGGGTCTGGTTTAGTCTATTAAAGGGGGAATGGATTCCTGTAGATGTCTCTCACTGCCTCCTTGAGTGCTAATAGAAGGTTCCTTTTATTCTTGAAGTGGAAGGCAAATATACATAACTTCTAGAACAACTTCTAGCTTTTAGCAGCCCTGACTGTAGTAACTTGGGATCTCACTCTGTTGCCTGTCACTGGTCTCTAGGATGATAATTTATTTTGGATTATTCTAATTTTTTTTCCCCTGAAATAACATGAAAATCCTTTATTTTTCAAGAATTACTCACAAGCACTGTCCTTGGCTATGGTACAGTTTCCATGCACCACTTTCCCCCCTAACCTCCCTTTATTCCCCCCTCAGCTTTATTGAGGTACAAAAATTAAGGACAAATTTGTATATATTTAAGATGTACAATTTGATGTTTTTGTTTTTGTTTTGTTTTTTTTATATGACGGAGAGAGACACAGCAAGAGAGGGAACACAAGCAGGAGGAGTGGAGGAGGGAGAAGCAGGCTTCCTGCGGAGCAGAGAGCCCGATGCAGGGCTCGATCCCAGGACCCTGGGATCATGACCTAAGCCGAAGGCAGACACTTAACCATCTGAGCCACCCAGGCGCCCCGGATTTGATGTTTTGATATACATATATATTGTAAAATAATCACCACAATCAAGCTGATTAACATTTATCACCTCAGTTACCATTTCAAAAATTGTGTGTGTGTGTGCGTGTGTGTGGTGGGACACTTATGATTTACCCTCTTAGCAAATTTCACCTAGGTTCAATTCCAGATCAGGGAAGTCTTTTTTATTCTTCTCTGCCTACCAAACTCCCCAGAGCATCCCCATCCCCAGTCCCTCTTTATTCATATTGCTTTACCAGGAACTGAATTTTTTGAGTTTGAAGGCTATAGGTACTTAGAGGGTAGTAAAGTCTAAGGCAGTAAAGTCTTGAGGTATCACTGAAAGTAGATTTTAGTAAATGGACAGTAGTTCAAATTTGTGGTTGGCAAAATCCCTGCATCTCTGTATGAGGGATGGGTAGTGCATGTGAACTGCAACCTTGCTCAGCCTTCTTCTTAGGTACTGCTCACACTTGAGGGGAAAAGTATATGATGGCTCCAGTGGTTTCTCAGGCTAGCCAGTGTTCAGACCCTGAGAAACAGTTGTTTTAATGTTTTTCAAAATGTTTTGACTTAGTACCTTTTTTAAAAAAGATTTTATTGTTTATTTATTTGAGAGAGAGCATGAGAGAGCACAAGCAGGGGGAGCAGCAGAGGGAGAGGGAGAAGCAGGCTCCCTGCTGAGCAGGGAGCCTGATGCAGGACTTGATCCCAGGACCCTGGGATCATGACCTAAGCAGAAGGCAGACGCTTAACTGACTGAGCTACCCAGGTACCCTGTGACTTAGTAACTTTTAATCTTGTCATATTAATGGAAAGTTGAGAAAAGTTATTTCTGGGATAGTTTAAGTGGTGAAGTTTAAGACATTTTATTCTTAGCACAAATAGCATCTATATCAGTAATGATTTTTACCAAGGAAATGTAATCTTAAGGCTTAATTTACTAATCAGTGAAATGTTTATATTACCCCCCCAACTTAAAGATTTCTGTATATTCATTTTTGATATCATGAGTTATAAGAAATATATATATTTGGTCTTCATCCATGTTTCCTGGCTCAAAGCTCCCCAAACCCATGAAACTTCCTGAGCAGTAAGAGCAATAGGAACATCTTATAATATTTGGGCTCTTGTCCTCAGCTCCTGAAATGGATTCAGAGCCATAAAAATGAAATGGGTGTACTGTTATTCGTAACAGGCTCCTTTCCACAACTGGGCTTATGAGGTAATTTCTGGAAAGCAACTGAGGATGGGGGCTTATTATCAGGGGAACCAAGATGAAATCAGTCCTATCCCTGATCCCCACCCTGACTTCTGGGGAGGGGCAGGAGAGGGCTGGAGGCTGAAAAAAATTGTCAATGACTAATGATTTAATCAGTAATGTAATGAAGGCTCCATAAAATCCCAAAAGGACAGTGTTCAGAGAGCTTCTGGGTAGGTGAACGTGTAGAGATGTAGGGAGAGTGGTGAATCACAGAGGGCATGGAACCTCAAAGTCCTTTCCCCATACCTTGAGGAACCACTGGAGGCCATCACATACTTTTTTAAAAAAATAAACAAAATAGACAATACTTTCGCTAGATTCACCAAGAAAAAAAGAGAGGCCTTAAATAACTAAAATCAGAAATGAAAGATGAGATGTTAAAACAGATACCACTGAAATACAAAGGATCAAAGAAAGTAGTATGAACAATTACAAGCCAACAAATTGAACATATGAGATATGGATAAATTCCTAGAAATATACAGCCTACCTAGACTGAGTAATGGAGAAATAAAACATCTGAACATAAGAATAATTAAGGAGGTTGACTGAATCAGTTGTCAAAAACCTCCCAACAAACGAAAGTCCATACCAAATGGCTTCACTGGTGAATTCTATGGAAAACTTTTTTGTTTTTTCCTACTGAAAATTTAAAGAATATCAATCTTTCTTTAACTCTTCAAAAAAAAAAAAAAATCAAAGAGGAGGGAACATTTCCAAACTCATTTCATGAAGCCAGCATTACCCTGATACCAAAACCAGACAAGGACACCACAAAAAAAATTACAGGCTAGTATTACTGATGAATATAGATACAAAAATCCTCAATGAAATATTAGCAAACTGAATCCAACAATACATTAAAAGGATGATATGCCATATTGAGTGGGATTTATTCCAGGGATGTAAAGATGGTTCAGCATTCACCAATCTATCAGTGTGATACACCACATCAATGAAATGAATAAAATCACATGGCTTTCTCAATATAAAAAAGGCATTTGACAAAATTTAGCATCCATTTATGATAAAAACCCTCAAGAAAGTAGGTATACAAATAAAGTAAATGGGACAACACACACACACACCAGAAGCCTCCAATGATAAGTTGAAGATAAATAAATCATTAAATCATTTTTAATGGGTTACATTAGGATTTATTCCCTAAGGAAGTGGATATTGAATAGAAAGTTTTAAAGAATAAATTAGAGGGGCGCCTGGGTGGCTCAGTTGGTTAAGCGACTGCCTTCGGCTCAGGTCATGATCCTGGAGTCCCAGGATCGAGTCCCGCATCGGGCTCCCTGCTCCGCGGGGAGTCTGCTTCTCCCTCTGACCCTCCCCCCTCTCATGTGCTCTCTCTCTCTCTCATTCTCTCTCTTTCAAATAAATAAATAAAATAAAATCTTTAAAATAAAAGAATAAATTAGAGAGGAGCATCTGGGTGGCTCAGTCAGTTAAGTATCTGACTCCTGTTTTTGGCTCAGGTCATGATCTCAGGGTCATGAGATCAAGCTCCACATCAGGCTCCATGCTCAATGTAAGTCTGTTTGAGATTCTCTCTCTTCTCTGCGTCTGCCCCTTCCCCACTCAAAAAATACATAAAATCTTTTTTTTTTTTAAAGATTTTATTTATTTGACAGAGAGAGAGACAGTGAGAGGGAACACAAGCAGGAGGAGTGGGAAAGGGAGAAGCAGGCTTCCCGCGGAGCAGAGAGCCCGAGGTAGGGCTCGATCCCAGGACTCTGGGATCATGACCTGAGCTGAAGGCAGATGCTTAATGACTGAGCCACCCAGGAGCCCCCCAAAATACATAAAATCTTAAAAAGAAAAAAAAAAAGAATGAGTTAGAGATATGAGTTTGGGCACTGAGTGGCCTATAAAATCATGGTTCCTTCAGGCTCCTTGAGTATATGTAAATACACACACATGTGCGTGTGGACACATACACAATAATACACCTAGAAAATAACAGGATTCACTGTAACAATGCATAGCAATGTTCAAATGTATTTAATAGTTTGATAACTGACTTTGAGAGATCAATTTCAAAAATACGATGGGTTAAAAAACTGTAATTTTTCTGAGATTTAACTGTAGTTAGGTATCTGTTAGTCTCTCATATTAATCCTTTAAAATGGATACTTTTGCCAATTAATGGACATTATATGAATTGTGATGTATTGATATGCACAAAATAGAAGCCCATCTCTGTGCTTAAACTTGTAATAGCATTTTATTTTCCTCAGATAACAAGAAGTCTAAAGGAAGGGAGTCTAGGCCCCTTCTATCACTTTGTCCCATTATCCTCACAGGGAAGGTTTTATCTTCATGCTTGTCTAATCATAGAGGCAGGATGGCTTCTGCCTCTTCAGTTGTGCTTTAGGCTGGAGAAAGAGAAAGGGACAAAAAGAATGTTTGTATTAGAAAAACAAAAATAATGCCAGAAGTCTCTTAGCAGAAATATACTTCTATCTCCTTGCCTGTACTTTTATTACAATGCTACTCTTGGCTGCAACAGAGTCTGAGAAGGTATTTTATCCGGGAACACTGCCAACCTGAACAAAAAGGGGTCCTGTCAGTAAGGGAGAAGTGGAGAATAGCTCTTAGGTAGGAAATTAGGACTGTCAAAGGATTCACGGAATTCAGAATGCTATATAATCACAACCAGTATTTAAACAGTCTCAATTTTCAGAGTAATACTAAACATTAATAACTATTCATTTTTGTTATATTTTGGGGTTTAATTTTTTATGAATAGCCATGGTTAATAATGAAATATAAATACACGTCTTATAAACTTTATTACCTACATCATAGTAGTAAGAATGAGGTCATATAGGACATTAACAGCTTTTTATGTTAGAATTTTCTTTTTTTTTTAATACACCTAATTAAATGGTAGTTTTAGGGTCCAATACGAATCTCCTTCGGACAACATCTAAATTCTGAATCATAGGACCTAAATCCAAATTCTAAAGATTTTCTAAGTTAATTACCATTATCAGTTTCAAATAACATTTCTTTAATGTCCACATACTAACAGTGGAATACCAAGTCCTAAATTAATTTTTTTTTTTTTTT